AGGTGATCATGAATGTCACACATTATGTTTAGATATTTCTGTATTTGTGTACACCTATGCAACTTTCACGTCTCTGTTTATATGCTTTTCCCCCCCAAACATCCATCAGTTTGCAGCCATAGGGTTTCCAGAGGTGAGAAGAGCCACTCCAGCAAGAACTAACAAATGGCTTCATTCACTGATGTCTGATTGTACCAACACTACTCAACATGCAGCATCCTTCCTTCTGTCCTGGCTCCTCCTCACCAGAATATTAATTTAAGAAAATATCTCTGTTTGATGTTAAATTTAAAATGTACATTGTTGAATCTATCAACCTAGCTTTAGAAAGTAGCAGGTATTGATATATTCTAGAGTAACATTTATAAGAATGAAAAACAAAATTAATACATGCTTTTCTACTCAAAGAATAAAAACAACTCTCTTCTAGAATCACAAATCTCATTAAGCAGCCCCTTTTTCTGATAATTTCAAAATGGCTTCATATGGTTTTTCATGTAGAACTACAAAGTAACAGTTCAGAAGGGAGTGACAACTAATGGTGAAGATATTCCTATAGGCTGTAACTAATATTTCCAATAAATATTAGGTATTCAGCAATACCAAATATGGTTACTAATATGCTGTTTATAATCAAAATGAACCAATGATCCAATACAAATGGGAATGCCATACTCAAAATACTGTAAGTGGGTAAAAGAAGAAAAAATTCTATATAGAATATAGAGTTTTAAAATCATAATGTACTATTAAGATAAATTTCTAGTAAGGAAAAATAAGCCATAGAGGTCAGAACTGAATGAAATTTATCTTCCATTGCTTCTAACAATTTTCATTGCTATCTATTTTTAGACAAGTCAAATGTTAATCACTGTGATTTTTATTCATATTTGAATGAACATTTATAGGAGATATTTAGTGGATATATATTTCATCTGGAGTAGACAGCAAAGGTCCTTGTTATTCTGTTTATTAGTCATGTCACGCTTGATGTCTTTGATTAATAACAACACTGTCTAATTTAATTCACATCAGAATTGTGCTTCAAAGAACTGTATTAATCATGCAGAAAGGAGCAACAGTGAAATATGCGCCTAGATACTTTTTGTAAGTTTATTTCTGTTTACCTATAACTTAGGGAACAAACAACTGTTATGACAAAAGTAAAGGGGGAAAAAGCAATTTGAGATATATACCAAGAGTCCCTGATGCCACTTTGAGGTCACTGGCTAACCAGTAAATATCATGTGAAGAAAAAAAATATTTTAGCAAAAAAAATAGTTATTATATGCCTTCTGGGAATGTGTTTATAATCATATTTAATAAAACAGACCCCAGACCAAAAGTAATAAAAACAGATGCTTTCAATTGCATGTCTGGCATTGTTCATAATGTGCTGAACATTCATTCACTAAGCCAGGCTGTATACGTTGAACATGCTGATGATTAAAGCATGCTGTGAACTGTCTTAGCTTCTCACAGTGACAGAGTTGATTATTATGATCTTGAGAATGAAGTATCATCTGCTTATGAGAGAAATGAATAGATGGTTCTTTTCTACCCCTTTGACATAAGGCGTTTTACTAAGACTGTTAACCGCCCTGGTGTGTGTAATATATGAATGAGTACAGTCCTCGCATGTTCCCTTATAGAGATATGTGACTGAGGATGGCTAATTTACAATCTGCTCTATGAGCACCAAAGAAACGAGCATATATTAAACTGTTAAAACGTGCGATCCTCCATATTAGATAGGAAGCAAAACACAAACTCTGCGGTTGACTGGAAATGCCACCTAATCCCTGCTTAATTAAAGCAGCACACTCTACACTCCTGTTGTGTTGAGGGAGTACAGAGTGTGGGACGACTGATGGATGAGGAAAATAGCAGTCAGCGTGGCTAATCTCAAAGACTTGGGAGCTTTCTAGCTACATAAATCAGCGCGACTTCTGAATAACCTCATAAAACACCGTATCATTGCCATTCCACTCACGGCGTTTTGGTTCTTCCTACAGCATGCAGATCGTTAGGAAACTTCTAAGCAATCAAGTAATGTGGGTCTGATGAAATTACTCAATCAATGCACAGGCCCAAAGTAGAAGCATAATTCAAACTTGCATAGTTTTTATATGTAAAAGACCTTTCTTTCACCAGGGCAAAGGAGGTGATTCAACATGAAGTACAATGTGCATGTGTGCATATGTATTTAGCAGTTAAATACATGCAACTAGTAAATACCTCTAAAATATGATTAACAGAAAAGTCAAGCAATTACAATATTATGTATTTTGAGTAGAATAGATACATATTCATCTCAATCATTGTGGTTCAGCCATTAAAGTGTTATTTCCTGATCATAGTAAACTAAATCAACAAATTTATTTAACTAAATTTATTCAACAAAGTATTAAGGTTTAATATGCGATTGTTTTTATTAAGCTACATGCATGAAGTAAAAGGAGAGAGAGAGGTGAGGATTTTCATACACATCCCATGGTTCAATATCAAAAGCATTCAGTATTTAAAGAGCGTAAAAGAGCAATGACTTTTTATCTTTCCAGTGTGCCTGAACTATCATTGCAACCACTTTCCCATCAGACTGAGGAAACCTTCATTTCTGCATATCTCTTTACATCTCTAGAGGTGAAATATTCCTTTCCCAAAGGTGTCATCATTTTCAGCCTTTGAGTCCTGAGCTAATGCACTCCTAATATTCATATTTCTCGTATGATTTCATGAAAGCGATCACCTAAAGAACATTCCTTTTCCTCACTGACCCAGTAAGCTAGCTGACCCACTGCATGTTAACTGCTGCCTTACAAGTTAAATACAGGTGTACCAGTTTTGAATTTCTCATACTTTGGGTAAATGTGCAGGAAAGGGGGCATTTAACCTTTGAAGTACATAGAACTAAGCCAATTTTCAGTACATTATAAGAGGTATGAAGCTTTTAAAACTCAGTGTCACTGCAATATTAGGTAGTCTATAAAAGATGCCAACTCTCTTGTCTGTTGCACTAATTTCATTCAAGCCAAATCAATTGAGAAAGAAGTATTTCTCTCAGTTGGTTATACAGAGTGGATGCACACAGTTAGATTTCTAAAGAAATGTGTAATAGCTGCACAGTCACTTTTAAGAAACTAGTCATAAATAAGTAAGCCATTTCACTCTGACAGACAACAGTGGGAAATGGACAGTTATCTCCTACTCTGAACCAAATTCCCAGACTGCATTGTGAAATAGTATTCCTCTCTTAAAGACTATCAAGATATATACATATATACATGTTTGTAAATCACGTATTTAACTCGTAGAGCACAGAATAAGCACTTATCTACACCCCCCGGGGGGAGGGGAGCAAGCATAAGTCAGAAACCCCTAATCATCGAATAAATATAAAGAAAGGTATATTGATCACACCCCCATAGTCTTGCCTTCATCACTTAACAACTAGACATAAATTCATGCATGATTCATTTCCAAACTCTTATCAGAATGTTCCTGAACCCCTCAATGAGACCATAATTTCTCCCTGGAAAGTTCTGAACCTACAGGCACTGTTAGACCCCAAGGCAAAATGGGATCCAGCCGGCCAGCTATCTAATGCTTCATTTTCTTAATGCACAAGGGCAAGGCTTTCTGAATTCTGACCTCATTAGCCCTTGCACAGAGACATACAGTCCCATTGATATAAATGATAGAGAATGGCAGACATGTTTAACGGAGATAGCCTATAACACCAAAAGAGGGAGCCCCCTGGAGCTGAGAATCTGCCCACCACAGGCACAAACACTAGATGGAAGCCCCTGGCTTGGGAGGAATTGCCACCTGCAGCTGGTTCACCTGCTAGGGGTGTGTGTGTGTGTGTGTGTGTGTGTGTGTGTGTGTGTGTGTGTGTGTGTGTGTGTCACGGTGGAAGGGCAAGGGAGAAGCTGTGACCCATCTGTCGCCTGGATTTGCAGAACAGGAAACCGTTTGTACAGATAAAACTCCTGTACCAAAAAAAGAAGAAAAAAGAAAAAAACAAAAAAATGTCCCCAGAGGGGTCTCACTGCAGCCCGGCAAACGAACCTTGCTTGCCCAGGAGGCGAATTTCCGAAAAGGAAATCATCACATTAAGGCAGAAGAGGCTGCAAAAGCCGATCTCCACTCAGCTCTCAGGGATTAGCAAGTGAGAAGAGTTGGAGCCCTCAGCTATGGGCACCCTGCATGATAATGACTCGAGCCCCGCCGCTCCTGTCGCGCCGCCGGCCGCTCTGCTCGCCCCTAGGTGGGGCCAGGATCCTGGCGACCCGCGGGCCCTCCGGGAGCTAGGGCGCAGAGCTCGCCCTGGCGCAGCTCGGGAGGCGGCTGTCGGCGGTCGCCCTGTCTGGCCGGGCCACGAGAGCGGCCTGCACCGGCTTCGGCGTCTCCCACGCCCCGGGCCGAGAGCGTGTGCCCCGCCATCCTCTCCCGCCACCGGGTCGCCGGACCGCAGAGGACTGTGAGCCTGGGCGTCCGCACTGCTCGCCGCAGCGGACTCGGCCGCTCAGGATGCAAAACCACCTGTTCGAGCCGCGGGGAGCGCCCCCAGCCCCAGCCCGCGTCTCTCCCGGCGGATGACACTGCCAGCATCACCCCCCATCACCCACCGCTCCGTGATTTTTTTTTTTTTTTTAAATGGCTCAAATGTACATCCGGGAAAAATTGGGAAGCTAGAGTCAATCAAACTTCCTTCTCCCCACAACCCGAGTCCCCACACTCCCTGCACTCCTGCGCGGAGGCCAGCGTGAGCCCCCTGCGCCCGGCCCGCACTCCCCGCCCGCCCTCACTCCGCGCTGCGAGGCTCAGCCAGCCACAGCTGAGGGAAAGCTGAGCTTGTGCGAGCGCGGGCACCAAGGGGCGCGAACCGAGGCCACTCCAGCAGCAGTGAGAGGCTCAAGGGGGTGGGGGAGCAAGAGATTACTGCCAAGGAAACGCTAGGGAAAAAATCGCCACAAGCCGCACCAGCCTTGTCTTACCGATGTGGATGATGGAATCAGCGGTCGCCAGGTCCCAGGTTCGAGACCACCAGAGGGACAGAAACAAGAGCAAGGGGAAAACTTCCATCCTCCGATGCAGAGATCTTCCTTGACCACGACTTTGCGTCCAATATGTAGATATTCTTTTAACCGGTCCACAGAGTTTGAGGTCACGATAGAGTTGAGTGCAGCTTTCCCACTAATTTCCAAATCCCTCTCGCCAGTGCACAGTCTTTCTTAGTCGCCAAGGAGGCACAGGCGACCCGAGAGCTAGCACAGCCGGAGGCAGCCTCCTCCCAAGCCCTGTCACTCGGAGGGGAATTTTGGCATCGCCGGAGTTGTTTGCAGTTGGGCTTTTTAAAAATGTATCCAGCCTTGGCTGCTCTCGGACAGGGGGCGAGGCTGGCGCTCAGAAGGTGGCCGTGGCCGCGCGGGGGCCGCGGTGGCGGGTCCCAGCTCCGCCGCAACTTGGGCACCCCCGCGCCGGATGTGCCCGCGCCCTCCCCCGCCGCCGAGCCCCTCCACCCCGGGCCGCGCGCGGTCGTGGCGCCTCGCGGCCAGCTCTCGGTGCCAGCGGAGACGAGGAGGATGCTAGCGGAGCCGCCAGATTCCAGCGGGGAGGGGGAGGCCCGCTCCGGGAGGGGTGAAAAAAGTGAACTTGAAGGTAATGCAGATAGTAATGCAGAGAAGACTCCCCTTCTGCTCGAGGCGGGCCCCGGAGCTGGCGCGGCGGGCCCGAGCCGCTCCGCGGGCGCGGTGGCGGGGGAGTCCGCCGGGAGCGAGCAACGGGCCAGGCCGGCGCGCGGAGCCGCGGCTGCAGGATGCTCCGGAGCCGCTCGCCCGGCGGGATGCGGGAAGCCAACAGCAGCCTGGCAAGCTCCGCTGCAGCCCCACGTTGCCTAGAAATGGATCACCTAGGAGAAGCGAGTCCGCAAGAGAGCGGTGCTGTCAGGCGGAGAAGGGAACCGAGAGAGGAAGAGCTTCTAATAACCACCTCCTCCCCCTATCTGCAATACAAGGGAGAAACAAAACCGCGCTCTCAATTCCCTGGGAATCTTCACCCGGACTGAGAAAGGCAGGACTCACAGAGAAAGCAGTGAAGTCCCCCCACCTGCCTTAGTGTTTTCTTCTTCTTCTTTTTTTTTTTTTCGAGGTTAAAAGCAACCTAAAAAAGCCACCCCACTTATTTAACCTTGCTATCCCCCAACAGGTATCGGACTTTTTTCTAGTCTTTGTCTGGAATTAGTCACATTGGCTGAGAACAAATTAGGGACACCTAGTCACTTAGGGAAAAGAAGACCCAGAAAGCTTTTAATGAGATTTCAATTATAAAGTTATAAAAAGCTGAGAATGTGCTAATTACCTTTTAAACAGTGCTGGGTTTTTTTTTTTCTTTTTCATTTTTTTCTTCTTTTTTCAGTCTCTTTTTTGGCAATCAGGATGCAGAAAGAATTCTGAAATACTGTCAGAAAAGAGACAGTCTTGAGATTTTTAAGTGTATCTAATAATACAAAGTCAATAAAACAAAAAAAATGCTTCAGTGGTCAAAATACTGCATTAAGTTAATCACCTGTGCGGTTGGGTCGTCATGGGGAAGCTCCTTTCCGTCCTTGGGAAAAGCTGTGAATGCTCTATAGGGCAACCTCCCAGCCTTGAGAGGGGGAATTTTGTGCAAGCATATCCCTCCTCCTGGTGACTTCTTCTAACTACTACTATATATCCTTTTCTCTTACTGCAGGAGGGGGCTCTGTTAACTCAATCAAGTGTCTAACTGAGGTTAGGTATCAACAGCCTTGACACTGTTTCAATTACAACTATCGTCCCCTGGAAATCTTGTTACCAAGGGGGTGCATGTCAGAACACACCACTCCTTTGAAGACTGGCTGAGCTCTGTTCCTATTCCCTCATTGACCACCTTTCTTTCTCTTGGATGATAGCTTGGCTTAATTGCCCATTCTCACCTCTGCAAAGTCTTATCCTTCCTTCATCTTCTAAATTTTATCCTCGGACATTCCAGAAAATGATTTTTCCCCCTTGGTTGCTACTCATACTAACACTTCCTCCTGCATCTCATATAGTCCATTCAAGCTCCTCACCACACCAAGAAAAGGATCCTGTCACCTAGGAAATAGTGCCCCACCTTTAAATGTGAAATGATTCCACCCGTCTTCTCTATTCTCACTGCAGTCTACCTTTGTATCACAGAAAAAAAAAAAAACTGCTTTGGAATTTGGAATTAGTTCACCAGTGCCTTCCATAATGATCAAGACTTATACACTTTTTTCTCCTTTCTCCTTTTGCAGAGAGCTCTAGTTGTTGAATGTCTGAATCTAGAAACAGTACTTCCAGGAAGCCATCACTGCCTGTATTTCCCAATCAATTTGCATCAACTCTCTGTCCCCACCCCCACGAGTACACAAAAATTCAATATGGATTATGTTCATGTTATTATTTAATGTCAGTCTACTCTTCAAAGCATTCTGGTGTATTTTCACGAACGGTTATACAGACGATGAGATTTTTTTTTTAATGGATGTGTTTCCCCAAGACACACAGGGTCATTTTAAAAGCAAGTGAGTCACTGTGTATTTTATCAAGAAAAAAATGCGAAGTCATCATTTAAGATGGACACAACAATATCATATCTTAGGATCAGAGAAGTAGGTGGAGCTTTAAAGCAATAATTTTATCATTCTCCTCATAATAAGTGTTATTCTTGGAGAAAAACTAATAGCAAAATGCAGTCATGTTCATATACTCTATTAGAAACTTATTTTAATGTGCCATAAATAAAAAATTGTCATTATTCCAAAATATTCTGGTTAGTAGTTTTCTATCATAAATTCACTGTGGAATAATCTGGTGCTTTAGTGTGCCTTCTGCTTCTGTGATAAAGCATTCACTAAACCAACTTATACAAAGAAAGGGTTTATTTGGCTTATACCTCTTTGTGACTGTCCATCACTGAGGGAAGTCAACTCAGGAACTCAATCAACAACATGGAGGCCAAGGAATAATGCTGCTTACTGGTTTGTTCCTCATGGCTTGCTCATCCTGCTCTCTTATACAACCCAGAAACACCTACCGGCCTGGGGTGGAACCACCCACAATGAGCTGAGCTCTTCCATACCACCCATGAATCAATAGAATGCCCTTGGAGACGTGTCTACAGGCCAGTCTGCTGGAGACATTTTCTCAATTGAGGTTCTCTCTTCCCAGGTGACTCCAGTTTGTGTCAAGGTGACACAACTAAAGGAGCACACCTGGGCCTCTGTGCAAAGGGCGTGTGTAAGTATGAGTAAGTCAGAAACTCCAAAGCTTGAGACTCAGTCTATAAGCTACCTAGTTCTGTAAGTATCTCCAACAGGTAGCCATAGTTCATAACCACTCTTCTAACACTTGGACGTATAATGGGATTTGGGTGATGCATCACAAAACTCACAAAGATGTAATGATCGACTTCTGTCAGTCAAAAGCAGTCATCCAAACATGGGTTGAGGCTTTCTAAATTTAAAGCAAGACAGTTAGTGTAAAAGCAAAGTATAGCACTGGCTTCATAAATTTCAATTTAGGAACAGCAACCTTATCAGTGTTCAAGCACTTCCTATGCCCAGGGGGCGCTAATTATTTGGGTTTGTATAAATATAAATTTATATACTTATACAATGCATAACTATAGTTTTTAGAAAATTGGATAGATTAAGATAGTTACCTAGAAACAAAGATTTACAATGTACAAAATAGATGTTAAATACCAGGTGTAAAAATAAAATATTCACTGACTGTGTTTATTAATTGTTTATTTCTGTACAGGTAATTGAACCTTGTATATGTTAGGCACATGTTAAGAAATGTCTCTATCACATAGCTGTATCTTTAGCTTGTTCTTTTCCTTACTCCTTTATTGTTGAGACAGCTTGTTAGTAATTTGTCCAGGTTGGCCTTGAACTTGTGCTTCTTCTGCCCCAGCCACCTAAGTAGCTAGGATTACAGACCTATACCAACAAGCTAAACTTGGTTGTGTTTTCTAAATGGACATGGAAAAGTTAGTTTCCCTTTCATTCATGCTTCGTCACTTGAATTCAGGTATAAGATGTGGGAATGAGGGATGCATCTGGAATACTGTACTCATATTCAGTCCTTTTGAAGACAACCTTCATTCACTAGAGTTTTATAACAAGCACTTAATTTTGCAGGAAAAAAATGTAAGTGAATGATAATTGATACTTCATGGATTTTTCCAACCTGAGACTGTGTCTTCACTGAAGAATCATTGTGATTGGAATACCAGTGATATAGAGAAGTTGTAGAAAGTGTGAGCAGCTTCAACATGTAAAGTGTAATAATCAGTGATTTTTATGTGAAAAGCAGAATTTCAGAGAAGTATTATTTTGTGTTGATGGATTAGGGCACATTCAGGCTCCTTCAAAAGCACATTGTATAGAAGGAAAGCAAGACCATGAGACCATGCATACAGTAGATCTTTCTTGAATTTTCACTTGAAAAACATCTAAGAATTCAAGTGTCTACATTTGTAAAATAAGCTTCTTACTGTTAAAAACAGTGTCAAATTAACTCATATTCATCAGTTCTTTAAAGTGCTAATAATAAACCATTATACAAAGGGTTTTGTTTTCACGTAAAAATCAATGCATTTATAAGTGTTTACCTTAAATTTAAGGCATGGTTAACTTTCCATATAACACTACCAAAATGTATTTAGATGATTATTTTTAATTATGTATAATAATATCATTAGCATTATAACTTTGGGTGGCCACATAAAAGAATCTAAATAAATTACAACCATACCATCACTATATGAAGAAATAAAAGAGAACAATGGCCAATCACATATAGATATAAGTAGTTGTAATAAAAGCAGTTGAAGTTATGCATAAATGTAAAATGGTGGAATATAAAAGCATGAATTTCCTTTGGATGAGGAGCCTGAGGTAATTTTTTTCTTTTTTACTTAACAGATCATGGAAATTCAGTGTTAATGGAATTTCAGAGCCTGATTTATTCAGTTTCTTGTTTTTCTCTCTAAATGAGGATAAGGAAATTCAGTCCCAGAATCTTTACTGATATTTCTTAGAAAAAAAATGTAAACTTAGAAAACACAGTTTGGCTTTTGTATATTTATTTGTTTTGTGCATATGAATGTTTTGCCTGCATGTATATATGTGCAACATGTGCATGCTAACTGAGTGAGAAAAAGGCTAATTCCCTAGAACTCGAGTTGTGGGTAGTTGTGAAGCCATGTGGATGCTGGGAACCAAGCCACCTAGTGGGTGATGAACCACCTCTCCAGCTTCAGAAAACACAGGTTTTTATTTTTAAGTTATTTCAAAAAATTGCTATGTAATACACCTGTGTTAAGTGTGCTTTGCCATTTTTTCAAATTGATTTCTTCCTAGTTTGCAATATATTTTGTCAATTCAAAAATTATGGGATGGTATTTCCCTCCTTCTTTCTTT